ACATATTTACCAGGGAAGGACAAAAGGTCTTCAGTATTCATGATATTGATAGGGAAGAGGCTGTGCAGCCCGACAGCACCAATGTGGCTGAATTCATTCCTTGAAGTCTGCCTTTTCACAGAGAAGTGACTCAATTACTTACCTGAGAGGTATGAGAGTCTGCTTTGAGGCCTTTTTCCCATTAGCATTAAATTGTTCAACTGGGCTACGTTTTCCAAAGGAGAAATGGAGAAGCCTTCACCATTAGCTTCTTAATATTTGATTGCTTATGCCCACTGCTGCCACGTGGGAAGTCTGGGTCAATTCTCACATTCTGTGGGAAAGGTAGAAGTTTGGTCTGTGAAAACAGGTTTCCCACTGTGTAAGAAAGTGGCCTGCCTAACTGGTTATTTGCTATAAAACAGAATGCAAATATGAACACAGAAGCAAAGAGTCTCATCTCAGTTTTGCCACGCTTAAAGCCCCATTCAGTGGAGGTAGTGGACCCAAGGAAAGACTGCTTGCATCTAGGCATGCATTCTGCCTTCAGCAAACCCATAACACTAAGGTTTAGGCTGTCATCCATATACCCAGTAAAGGATATCTACACAGTGAATTTTGCCAAAATAGGCTTGTGCACCATGGGATTTAAACACCTACTGAGTCATGCAGCAATTGATAGCATGAGTATGATACCTGAACTCTTCTGTGGATCTAGACTCAGTTGTCCCATCCCTCCTTATGTGTTAAACAGGAACAATCCTTAACTAAGTAAGAGTGAGCGTTAGCTTGAAGAGAGTAATTAAACAAAAGTAATACAATTAAAATTCTTTCCAGCCAGCTTAGGTGGTGGAGGTTCACTATTCTTACTTTGAAGCTTATATTTATACCCACATGTATAGCTGGAAAGTTTTAATAAAACAGACCTGTTGCTAAATATTTATAAATTCAAAATAGCTTGTAATACATACTTTTTTATTATTTAATTTTACCTCCTGGTATATTTTTAATTTTTTTTAAATTCACTTCTTATTCAAATGTAATCACTGCTTTTTCCCTAAAATTCCTTTTGCTTTCCAAAATATGACTCAAGCATGTTCCTCTCCTCTCCTTTCCTCTCCTCTTCTCTCCTCTCCTCTCTCTTCTCTTCTCTTCTCTTCTCTTCTCTTCTCTTCTCTTCTCTTCTCTTCTCTTCTCTTCTCTTCTCTTCTCTTCTCTTCTCTTCTCTTCTCTTCTCTTCTCTTCTCTTCTCTTCTCTTCTCTTCTCTTCTCTTCTCTTCTCTTCTCTTCTCTTCTCTTCTCTTCTCTTCTCTTCTCTTCTCTTCTCTTCTCTTCTCTTCTCTTCTCTTCTCTTCTCTTCTCTTCTCTTCTCTTCTCTTCTCGTTTTTTTTTTTTTACCTTTAGTGTATTGCAATTCAACTTCTTGCTTTCCAGCTTGCTTTTTCCAGCTTACTTTTCCTGTACCTACTTACAGATACATATTCATGTGCAAAGCTAAGAAGGTATTGAGGAATTGCTGTCTTCATAAGTCTATTTTTATTGGATAAATATTCTAAGAATTTACTTGTAGGAGCACTCAAATACATAAGCTTAAAGTCAAGTATTCATTCTAATATAATTCAATTGCACAAAAATCACTCAGCACTGAAGAGGAACAAGCAACAATGAAGTTATATTATTTATAAATTTGAACAAATAGTCACAATAAAAATCTTGTGCCATTATCCATAAAAATCAACCATGTGTATTTTAAGGGAAATTATTTTGGTCATATTATACATAGTTTATTATAAAGATTTAGAAACTTTTTTCAGGGTTAAGGTTTGTGCCAAATACCCAGTTTTAATAGGTGTCTTCTCCCCCCCCCCCAACAAATTAATCTTAAAATGTGAAAATAGAGAAAAAATGGGGCCTGCTTCAGATTATTTTCAACTCTTTGGTATTCTGTGGCTTTTGTGTGGTTCTGTGTTACAAATTTTTGGCATAAAGAACTACCTGGGCATACATTTTGGTGCTTATTATTCATATAGAAATGTGGAGCAGCAATAAAGAAGAAAAAAATGCAGCTGTCAAATAAATAGGAGAGAGACAGAGGTTAATCCTTGCCAGCCTTCTTTATCATTCACTAGATAATTTTTTGATATTGTACTCAAATTGTTCTAGAACATATATGAAGTTTTTCTTCTTGGCTAAACAAGATTTCCATACCTCAAGAGGTGTATACAACATAGACCAATAGTTTACTGACAACTTTTAAAGGCAGAGTTAGGAGACAACGGGATTAGCCCATTGCCACTTAATCGTAACCCAGAGTGGGTGACATAATTCAAAGCTGCAACTTTTTGCCTTTTACAAATTGGGGATTCATATATGTAAAATTGTATTATAGTGGACAGCACTGTAAGCAATGGACTCCAAATGGGAACAATCCAGTATTCAAGAAAGCAATGCACTAGAGACTCCTTCAACAATATGTAGCTACTCAAGCCATTCAGTACCTCTATTAAAGCTGATCTTGAGTTTAGCTGCATTGCTTATCTTCTACCCAGACAAGACAGTTGTGTGCCACTGTCCTTGCAAAGTCCATCCTAATCTCAAGAGCCAGAAGAGCAGACAGTTTCCAGCAAATCTGACAAGGACAGGAGCAAGTAGTTCAAAAACCTGCCTATTAAGAATCTCTGAACATCATGTGTAGAAAAATGAAATAACATTCAAGAAAAGAGGAAGGGGCCTAGCAGAACTATCTCGAGGAGCTTCTGTGGTTTTGTGTCTGGTGAGTGTCCCAAGCTCAACAGTGTATTTAGAGATTTTTGTGACTTCTCCTCAAGTCTCTACAGCTGGTGGCCTCTCTAATTTTTTGCACAATGACAAGCTGCAGTCTATGAAAATTGCACTCCCTTCTCACACCTCAGTCAGAGGTATAGTGAAATGGGAAGAAGAAAATGAAAATCAATTTGTTATTTTGGCTTCTGAGTCTCCACTAAGAAAATGAAGGGAAAAAAACCCACATACTTAAGGACGAATTTAAGCCCATTTTTGTCTTTAACCTATCTATCCCGTTATTTTATACTCACTCTCAGATCTCGCCACGTTTCAGCCCAGAGAAGTTTCTCGTGGAGCCAGCCCCAGCGGGAAGCTGGCCCAGCAGCCCTGCTCCCTGGCACCCACGGGCGCTAGTGGGCGCTGCAATTTTGATTAAGTTTCCCTAAGCAACGATAATCCATATTGCATCAAGCCGGTCGTTTGAGGAAAGAGGGGGTAAAAACTATTTGGGAAATTGCTTCAGGGTAACAGAGTCCGTCTGTGCGTGCGTGCTGCCCTTTTTGTTTCTCAGCTTCATTGGAGCTGAGCTGGGACAGGTCATTGCAAAAGCAGCACCAGGAAAGCAGGCAACACTTCCTATGCAAATTACTGGGTTTGTTTGTTTGTTTGCTTGTTTGTTTTAATGCAGGTCCTCGCAAAGCAACACACTGCCTTATAACTCAGGGCTCAGAAATAAAATATAATTACAGTGCAACTTAGACCGGTTGGGGACTCTCAGAAATAAAGTGTTTTATTCACTCTCTTTATACATCACAAAACACTCGAAAAGTCTACTGCAAGCACAAGCTGAAAACTATCAGAAGAGCTGCACAAGCGATGTTAAATTTGAGTCTCTTTTGGCACGGTTGGCAACAAAATTTTGCTTTATCTAGGCTCGGTTTGGGGTGGGGGGAGTGGTCCCTCTTTTTTAAAATCTGTTCCACTGACATTTTTCTCTCCTGTTATTTAACAAAGGCAGGATCTCTTTGGTACTGCTACAAGAGACATGCAAAAACACTGGGCATATCACCCGAGCCTATTTAGCAACTTTCAGACTTTGTTCCTGTGCTTTGTTATCTAAACGCAGTAGACGGAAATGGCAGATAACGCTCCTATGCAAATGAAGATAACAGTTGTTCGCCCACTCTCCGCTTAGGATACTGGAAGATGCAATATTTTCCTCTAAAGCAGATTGCCCCCCCGCCCCCGCCCCGGCAGCTTTCTCCATGCAAACCGCGACTGCATTGTCCGCGGACAGCTGATTCTTATCGGACCGGTGGGGGTATTGTGTTTCAGCTCGTGGCACTGGAAAACATTGTAACTTTCTTTGAAGTTAAATGGCTTCATTTTGTTTCCATGTATGAATAACTCTGCGAAGAACTAGAGTGACCCAAAGGCGACCCGTTTACAATGCCATCCGGCCAACCTGTTTCTCTCCCTTTCGAGCTCTGCAAGCGAAGCTCCTTTCATAGAAACAGGCGGGCGGGGAGGGAGAGGCAAGAGGGAGGGAGACCTCCCGACCAGGCGAAGTTGCGTCGTAATTAAATTTTATTTTATCCTACCGAGGCATGCAAAATATCGAGCAAAATACAAGTTTAAAGTAATTTGTTTGTATTCTTATCTGTAGGAGTTGGAAATTAACAGCCCCGCTAGTTTACTGTTAAGCCTGGAGAGCGAGAGATTGCTTTGCAAACATTACAGTTATTATGTCTGCAGTTGGTACTCTTTGTATAAATTATTGATCAGCCATCTTATTTTTCTTTCTGCTTAATGGATATTATAGCATAGCCGTTTACACGCTATAGTTAAGGTTGTGTCAGCACTTCCATTTATAACATCCCCCTCTTACCAGAAGTTTATAACTCGCTATAAAATTCCGCTCTGGGCTGAAACTTCTCAAACAAGAGGCTCAGACTTTTAAAGGGTCTCCCCTCCCCCCTGCTCCCTCAAAGAACAAAAAAAAATGTTTGGCTGTCTTCTTTT